TACGAAAGTTCAGATGACCTTGGCGCCATTGAAATTGCTGCAGTGCCTGTATAAACATCGTTAGGTATCCATCACTTCATGGTGATTGCACGGACAAGTGCATACCTCTGCAGCCGGCATCGGCTTACCGTAGATTTTCTTGTTGTTTGGCGTTCTTCGATCAAAATCCACCTCGAAATCTTAAATCATATTCATGCACTTGTTAGCTTCTACGCAGGTTATAAAAAAGCGAAAGTAGCGGCCACTCTACTCGAACTGGGCGGCTGGTGTAAGCAGGATCAGCGAGCACAATGTAGTTGTCGTCAACGTCAGCACCTCACTCGCCCCCTCCCCCCCCCCGACTCGGTGCTCTACGCTCCCTATGTTTGGGGATTGTCGTCGCTGCTGTAGCCCTCGGTATTCTCAGTGCCAATGTCGAAGCCGCGTACCCATGACCCCCTCACCCTTCTACCACCCTCTCACTATCGTACTCCCTGACCCTCTCTCCTGCGCTGCTGTCAGCGTCGTCGTACCTGGACGCACCATTGTTGTCGGCCATCGTGGTCAGCTAGTGACCGTGTCTGGTCGAGACCGACTGTTCTCGAAGTATGTGATCTCTCCGATAACTATGAAAATGAGGTTGGTATCTTTGAAGGGTCAATATTTATGTAGCCCTGAGTAACAACAAGGTTTTCGAGTTGAGGATGTCGCACTACTCGGAATTATGCATTAAACTCACCCCTAGGGGGACGGTTCTAACCCATCAGAGGGAGCTTCGTGAAAGGTCAGAGAAGGCATGGAGAGCCGATGGGAAGGTCACCTCCCCTAATTTCAAAGTGTACAGATCGTATATTATTTTTATCTCAATAAAGTTGAGCAGGAAAAAAACGCGATCGCTGGCGGGTTAAACTGGTGTAGTTCCTAATCTCGTCGTCCCATGATGAGTCCTCGATAGTATACGTATTGTCGAAAAGCCACAAGACGCGCGCCCAAGACACGTGTTATCGCACTTGATTAGACTATCAGCAGGACGTAACAGCAGCAGTAACGTCAACAACAACAGCAACTTGCATAGATTTGTGAAACATTCTGGTGAAACAGAATAAGAAGGTGAGAAATGACAGGTTGTTGATTTAGACGCACTTGGCTTAGTACCTATAGCGCATATGTTGTAACGTTTTCCTACTCAGTAGGTTAAGCGTCTGTAAACGCTTCGAACGCTAGTAGCATGTACACACCGCAGTTGTAGCTGTCTACTTGAACTTCAAGTTCGCTTTGGATGTGACGAACCCGATATTTTCTTGGGGGCAAAATCGGGAAGCATATCCACCAGATTATCTGAAAGAGGCCGCTTTCACGTCATTGATTGAGTTCATAGGGTCGTAGATGTAGACAATTTTTAGCGTGATGTCCATCTTGATAGAGGGAGAAAAAAGGGAACACTACTAAGCCTATCTAAAGGTTTAGAGTTCTTTTCAACCTTGAAATGCGTCGGCATGTTAGCACTACCGTAAAGTCCGGATTCAGTAAGACGGTGGTAAAAATATACTCGGTCAATACTAATTTCATAAAAAGGCTCATATATTTCCGAGTGGTAAAAGTCTAAACTGTTCACCGCCACCCACGCACAGCCAAGTCCTTAATACCATCCGTCCCCACTTCTTATTTGGTGATGATTCGTCGGCCAAAAAACACTAACAAAGCTAAATTTAAGGCTCTCGATCGCGGAGCGAAGACCGTGGTCGCTGCTGCCGCGGCCGTGGGCGTGAATCGACCAACGTGGTACCGCCGGAAGAAACAAGAAGCCACCATCAAAGTTGCTGCACATAACACAGCTACCATTTTCTACACTTCCCGAACTACAAAAATGTATGTTCGGAACCCCAACCCAGAAAAAAAGTAAGTTTTTTTTTATTATTATTAAATTTTATGACTGTGCTGATCTTATTGCAATATTTAGACTGCTTGATTGGATCGTGGAAATACGCAAAAATCGTTTCTTGTGTGTATCAATGGCGTGCATGCTGATTATGCTTGCTCGTTACGATCCTGAGCGAGCTAAATATCGCACTCGGCTCGGAAACCTAGCGTTTTTAAAGCGCTTTCTCAAGCGCAACCGCCTTACTGTTCGCCGAATTACGCAAAAAAGGCAGAAAGAAGCGCTCTGACATGGAGGTAAAACAATAATTCTATACTGTGCATATTAGTTCCTACCAAATTTATTGTTTGTTTTTTATAAAAAATATTTTTGATGAACATTTTACCTTTGTTTTAATAGATTTGGCAGCCAAGCATTGATGGATGCCGACTGCTCATACTTGACAGTCTTAAAGTCAATAGAATGGCTTCGGTGAGAGCGGCACTGGGTAAATGCTGTACACAGGTGCAGTTTGTGTCTCCCGGAATTACGGGTTTGGGTCAACCAATGGACGTTGCTGTGATGAAGCCGTTCAAGGACGCCTTCCCGTACGTATGTATTTAGTATTTGTACGAGAGGGGGTGACATCATTAAGAAATATTGCATGCTGTCTTTTTTTTT